GTATAGCGTCGTAAAGTATTCTGTCTCTATAAGTAGGAATTGATGATTTGGATCCCCACCACGTGTGCTTCGCATTGTAGTCACCTCCAGCAATAAAGAGATTTCCTACTGTTTTGAAGAAGTCTCCCAGTCTTCTTTTGTTATTACTTTATTGGGAGGACAGTATATAACTGATACTGTTAAGGGGCCTTTGTTGTTGCTTATGATGATACTATCTGCTTGAAGATAAATTTCACTTGAGTACGCATGAACAAAATGTTTTATTTTTATTTTAATTAATATCGCTGTTCCTCCATGGGCTTTGTTGAGTGGGTGATTTGTGTTATGTACAGTGTAATTTGGAATATGTAGGTAGTTTTTGTTGGTAAAATGTGTTTCTATTATTAACATAATATCAATATCTTCGTAGATTCAAAATGCTTTTAATTCTAGAAATCTCTGCATTAATCCGTTTATGTTCCAGATACTTATTTTCAGTGAATTCATAAAGCTAATTTACTCACTAATGTTGTTAACAGATTTAACACAGTGTCTATCCTTTCCATTAGTTTTTCCATCATGTGTTCGAGTTTATTTGTATATTCTTCTTTTATGTGATTGTTTGTTTCTGACTGATTGTTTGTTTTTATTCCTCTGTTGTATTCTGTTTATTTTAATTTGCCGTTACTTGGGCATACGATATGTTTGATATCACCCTGTTTTCGTTTGTATTTAGATTAGGCTGAACTTGGCTATTGTTTTTATTCTTAATCTGGGAAATAATTTTTGTTGCAACTCTTTACGAATTGGACATCCTTTGTAACTTGCTGTATGGTTACCTTTACCATTTACACATGTTACTTCTTTAATTTTTTCTTTGATTGGATACTCCTTTGTTTTGTGATTTAGTGCACATTTGACACATACCGCTCTTTTATAGCAGTAGTTTTTTATGTGACCGAATTCTTGACAGTTTTGACATTGAGGGGTGTCTCTTTTTACGTTTGGTGGTTCAAATTTTATTACTGAATTTAATAATCTGTTAATTTGATATATTTCTTGGCTATTGTGATTGTGTTCAATTTCAACAGTAAATAATGGCATTGGAAGTTTTGTAACTTTCTGTAGCATATTGCGAATACGTATCACTTTATGTCCGTATTCTTCAATAGCTTTTTTAATATCATCAATATCGACTGATGGATGCATACTTCTCAGGATGACTCTGAAACCTTTGTCCTCTTTGCGCTGATAGGTGCAGAATTGAGTATTTTTCTCTTTTAATGCGTTTACGATCTGCAGGTATTTTTCGGACGTCGTCGGTTGTATTCTCACTTCATTGTTAGCTAACACTTTCAAAGTGTAACTGTCCTTAGCTACCGTGTTAAGAACGTTTTCCAGCAGACGTATGTTCTCTACGTAATAGACAAAAATTGGGGGTGCTTTGTCTTGTGTAATGTTACCTTCATTGGATTTTGCACGATTCTCTCCCTGACTTTGATTTTCATTGTCATTTTGTTGCAGTACAGAAAATTCATTACCAGATTGGCTTAACTAGTAATCTGTTAATTGCGCTTGTTTTTTATTGGGAGTTTGTTCTTCCTGGGCTGGTACGCAGCCTTTTATAATTTCCCCGTATTCATTTTTCCGTTTGGTTTGTTCTTCGGGTACACATATCGTCCCCTGGTTTTATTTCCATGTTTGGCTATTATGCCCCTTTATTATAAGGTTAGTGGTTTGTGTAGTCTCCACACTTGATTTGCAAACTATCACTTCACTTAGTTGGCTTATAGGTTTACTTTCAAGAGAACAGAGCGCAAATAACACGTCTGGCTTCCTTGAGGTTCAAACATAAACTATCTCAGAAAATAGCTGAGTCTTTATTTCGTTCAATACTCGCGCTGCTAGGCAAGGTAGGATTATGAATCCTCTTACCGTAGTAACAAGCGAATTTATACTTGCGAAAACCGTTCCTTTTTACGCTTGGTAGCCCCTACAACGCTATTTTTGATATTCACATAAACTTTGTACAGGTTTTGTTGCAAAATGGCTCGCTCGAAATTGAAAATTAGTGACTTAAAAAATCAAGTAGAAGATGACGAATTTTTTAATATGAATCGTTTATCCAGGAAAAATAGCCTCTTAAAATTATAAGTGATTTAAGTTAGATATTTAAATAACAAGGAATTTACAATAAATTTACGGAAAAGTTTTACATAAAAAAATCACTCATGATAAGTGGAACATTATTCAAAATAAAAACCACTAACTTAACAATCCATTTATGAATAATAATTAAATAACGAATTCGTAAATTCCTTTTTTAGCCATTATAAAATCAACAAACGGGTAACAATCGCTATCAGTAAATTTATTGGTATATACATTCGAATCGTTATCTTGCAACGTAATTTTAATTGTTTAAATAAATTATAAATTTTTTATTTATTAATAACTGAGTCGAAAATCAGTTATCAAAGTGTCAAATTCTTGCTTACCTGTCTTAAGGTGCTAGGATCACTGTTGTATATTCGAATTTACATCATATTCATTTGTTGCAAAATTACTAGTGATATTTACTTGTAAATTAAATTAAACTTACAAATACATATTGAATGACTATAGCAACTTGAAATTCAAGATTAGCGCATGAAAATTGACTAAAAATGCTTTTGTCCGTTAAAAAAAACTTTGCAATCATCGATTTTGCATTGTAAACAATAATTTTCCCACGCTCGTGACGTCAGGCTCCTTATATGATCTTGTTTTCGCCGATGTGCCCTAACACATTTACGCGTATATGAGAAGAGCGCCTTAGCTCAAGTAGCGCTTTTCTTTAGTTTTCTTGTGTATGACGGGTTGCTGTTTTGCAGTGGAAGATGAAAGAAAAGGCAAATCAGACTGGACCGTTACAAGATAAATTAAAACTATCGGGATCCATGAAATTAGTAGCTTTTATCTTTCCAATTTGCTCGTCCCGGTTCAAGCGTCGTTGCGCAAACCAAACAGAGCACCTGAATAACGTCCGCCTTAGACGTTCCTGAGAGAATGACCCGGACGTCACAAAAGTGATATTCAAACGTTCATAACTTTTTTTAGGTGATGTGCACATCACCTCCTCTAATTTTATCTTACAGCTTGTGATGAGTAGAATAACATATTTTTAGCGCATTTCTTTAAATCAATCCAGTCAAGAAGTTATAAGGAAAGAAGTAAAAATATCGTGAATTGATAAAATGGTGTCATGCTTATTTTATGAATTGTTTTTGCAGCAATACTTAGTGGCACGCCTATAAAAATCATATTTATCTATTATTTGTACACCTATAATTAAGAAATTAGACTGGTAATAGCTTCGATCAAAAAGTTTTAGCTATGTAAAAAACAAACAAGGTGTTTTATCCTAATCATGTTCCGTTTGTATGAGATGTTTTTTGTTTATAATGCAGAGAAATAAACTTTTACAGACTGGATCATTACAGGTACTGTTAAGAAAGAATATTTTTGATTAGAAAAATTATTGGAATATCTAATATATAATATACAATACTTAAAACTATTGTCATCCACGGAAACTAAAATTTCCGTGGAAAACCCTATATGCATCAATGATCTAAGCTTTATTTAATATGTTACCTTGGTTTATTACAAAAAAGCATCTCTCTTAAAAGAAAGTATACTGATTCTCTAACGTACTATTCAATTTAGCCAAATAAAGGTTATGGAAGGATGTGTAGTACGTATATACTAAATGCTAAAAAATATTATTTACAAAATTTTTTTAAATATAGATTAAGTTATAAAACATCATGATGTGTAACAAGCAGCAAATAATACATTAGTATAAGTAGCAATAATTAGAAAGTATTCAGAAATGATTGCACAGGTATACAAGATTTTATATTATAAGCGAGCTATAGTATTACCGAAAGCTTTCGGTGCGCTAAATCCAAATCTGGCCTCAGAATTATTCCATCACGTTAGGTTTTTGAGATATCCTAACCCTAGAAGTGTAAAAAGTACTGTTTTTTGATATATTTAAGGTTATGTACCATCGTAAATAAATTTTTTCACAAAAAACTATTTAAAGCATCTTAAAGTACAAATCATATCTTTTTAAATGCCATTGAGTTTCCTCAAATATCTTTTTTTATAAATTGTTATATATATGTTTATAAATTTTTCAAAATTCGAAAATCTATTATCCTTTGTTGCACGAATTTTTCGGTTCAGTGGATTTACTCGAACATTGTTACTCGGAGGTTTTTGGAGTCGCTAATCACGAATCTGAAGTCAACGCACACCCGCGCATACACACGCATACGCACGCATTTTTACAAAATTCTAACAGCATCGATTGAAAATTTAAACAATTTTACGTCAGAAATATCTATTCCTGATTTCTATCCCCGATAAAAGATCAACTAAAAAGAGCTAAAGAAAATCGTCCACTTAGGATTTCATGGGTTAATGTATTTTCGAATTTTGAGTAATTTATAAATATGAAAATTTCCAAATGCGATGTCTTGGCAAAAAAAAAGATATTAAGGCAAATTCAACGGCATTTTTAAGGGAAAGATTTGTACGTTAAGATTCTTTAAATAGTTTTCTATGATAAAATTTATGTACGATGCCACACAACCTCAAATATGTCAAAAAATAGTGCTTTTTGCATTTTTAGGTTAGGATATCTTAAAAACCTGACGCGATGGAACAATTTTGAGATCAGATTTGGATTCAGCGCACCAAAATCCTTTGGAAATACCATAGCTGGCTTGTGATACAGAAAATAATCTATTATTTGTATACTTGTGTTATTATATTAGTTTGATAGATAAGTTACATAATAAACTTAGAAAATAATATAATAATAATAGAAGTTGATAATTGTAAAATGAATGAAATGTTTATTATGAATAGCTAGCATAATCAATTCATACAATATGTAGTAAAATTATATCAATTTGTTTTTCGACACTAGTTCATAATTGGACTATTATAACAAATGATATAGAACTTACGTCCATTAACGCTGAATTCAATAACCTGTTTGATTTTCCGACACATTGTATATTTAGATCCTTCAACGTGTTCAGAACAGTCTTTTTTCAGAGCGTCAGGGGGATTATCATCAGCACATCGACTATCTATGTGACTGTTACACTCAAAACAACGCAATGCTTCCACACCTAGTGACATTATTATTATTATTATTATTATTATTATTATTATTATTATTAAATAATTAATATTCTACTTAATAAATATATGATATTATAAATAGTTTTACTCAGAATATGATTGTACAGAATACAATGAAAAAACTATATTAAACTCTTATTTGCATTTGATTAATTATTAGAAGCCAAATACAGTCGGTCGTATAACAAACGGAAACTCAGATGTATTACTAATTTTTTACGTTGAATCAGGTGAGTGGAGACTTTTTACCTCTATTATTGAATATGTGATGAGATATTTTTACTCAGAATCGTTGCTAAGATAAGAATCCAAAAAAGTAGTTTACACATGGATGCACGCAATATCTTCCGTTACGATATATACTGACATTAAAGTTCGATACTTATATTTTTTTATCAAAGTAGTAATAATAATAACAATAGTAACAGCATATTCGTCAATTAATCATACATTATCGGACTACTTTGAGAATCAGGATAATATTACTTTACATATCAAGTTGCAGTCATGACGCTTAGCGGAACGGAGCCGCCCGACGGCTCACTCCTTAAGGAGGTTCTCCAGTAAAGTCTAAATTTCTTACTCATCAATAAATTTGAAATCTATCATACATAACATTAGTATTTGTGTGCAAAAAAAATTTTAGGTCATGATATCGTACGTTTTCCAATAATATAGCGTTTTCAAAATTATCGTTATCATACTCAGACTGCGGCCGTACAAATAAGTTTAGCTTTGCTTTATTGTTATCTTGCATAACCAAATTTATCAGTAATCATAACGGAAGTACAGGTCTTCAATAAAAAATTAATTAGCACCATTCATAAAGTTTTTCAATAAAAAAAACCGTATTTATATTGTCAACTTCCTAAATTGACCCACTATAATTAGTATATATTTCTTTATGAAAGTAACTTAAGGGAGTATGGTGGGTACGTAGTTAGTCAGTTGAGAGAACGCCTCTACTTTATATTGACTCGCTTAGTACCAATCGTAAGTTTGGCAACGTCGCGCATATACTCCGCTCTAAACGCTCAACGTACGTCTGCTACCGCGTGTATTTATTATGCTTGCGGGCTAACCTATAAAAGGTAACCTGATATTATACAGACTGAAAAAATGAGTGAGAAAAATAACTACTGTTATTTCGTAATAATTATTATTTATTTAATATAATAAATAAAATGTTTATTAAATTAATAAATGTGGAGTTTTTTATTAATATGATATAAAAAATTTTTTATTAACATGAACAGAATAATTTTTAATAAAAAAGTGAGCTTCGCTGTCATTCCGAAATCCGCGCCTATACCGAGGCACATGGAGTACATGCGACGTTGCCACGTCGTCAATTCACTGACGAAAATCGTAAATTTACGATATAAATTAGTCAATATCTTTTGTTACAGGCTTTGATTGATAGTTTTGAATGCACCAATGGATTCAGTATTTTTTTCTACGTCCCTCAGAATTTTTTCATAATTTTCTCATTTTTGAATATCTTTATAATAAAAAAAAACAGCGTTTTCCCATAAGATCACATGTTAATTTTAAACATTAATTTCTCGGGTTTGAAGCTCTGAAGGGTCACCAAACTTGAACCATAGCTTAAGTGAACCATAATACACATTTTGTCCAAATTACAAGCAATTCTCATTTTTAATAGTCTTAGCCACCATACTCCCTTAACAAACTAACAAAGCAATAAGCTTTTCAGAGGATGATCGTTAGATATTGAGGTTTCAATTATCATTACAATACCAAGACCTTATCGGCTTATAGAAAAGTTTTCTAATGAAAATCATGCACAAAATGTTCAACTTTGGTTAAGATAGCTAGATGCGATGAAATATTTTTACTCAGAGTCGTTGCTAAAATAAGAATACAAAAAAGTAGTTTACACATGGATGCACGCAATACCTTCAGTTACTATTATTAGTATCTACTTGGAAATAAAATGTATTTATTCACTAATTTATATCGCATACGAGGTGTGATCAAAAAGTAAGGTGAATTTTGAAATTTAGCGGGCTACGTCCGTTCGATCTTCGACTTTTTTATTTGGTTATGTCGGTACACTCCTCTAGAACATACGTTCCAAATTTCAGCTTTGTAGTATGTTTGGTTTGTTTGTGAGAGGCATCAAGGTTAGAAGTGTTTTGCGTGCTCCACGATTTGCTGCTGTCTAAAAACATGGATCAAAGAGTTTGCATTAAATTTTGTGTGAAAAATGGAATCAAATGTTCCAAAACACTTGAAATGCTGAAAGTGGCATACGGTGAGTCTACTTTAAGCCAAAAAAATGTTTACAAGTGGTATAAACTCTTCCAAGAAGGCCGAGAAGACACCGACGACGAACCTCGTTCTGGACGCCCCAGCACATCAACAACTGATGAGAATGTTGAAGAAGTGAAGAAAATAGTGTTGGGAAATCGTCAAATTACCATTAGAGAAATTGCTGATGATATTGGCATCTCATTTGGTTCGTGCCAATCAATTTTGACGAGTGTTTTAGACATGAGACGTGTGTCAGCGAAGTTTGTTCCGAAATTGCTCAATTTCGACCAAAAGAAACGTCGCATGAGCATCGCCCAAGAGCTACCGAATGACGTCAACGATGATCCAGATTTACTCAACAGGGTTATAACAGGTGACGAAACATGGGTATACGGTTATGACGTCGAGACTAAGACTCAATCGTCCCAGTGGAGGCATTCTGGATCACCAAGACCAAAAAAAGCACGCCAAGTTCGATCAAATGTAAAGGTTTTGCTTACAGTTTTCTTTGACTGCAGGGGCGTGGTGCATCATGAGTTCTTGCCACAGGGTAGAACAGTAAATAAGGAATATTACCTGCAAGTTATGCGCAATTTGCGCGAAGCAATCCGCCAGAAACGTCCGAATTTGTGGAAAAATAAAAATTGGCTTTTGCACCATGATAACGCCCCTGCTCACACATCGTTGCTTGTGCGCGAATTTTTGGCTAAAACCAACACAGTAACGATGCCACAGGCACCGTATTCCCCAGATCTGGCCCCCTGTGACTTTTTCTTGTTCCCGAAACTGAAGAGGCCCATGAAAGGACGGCGTTTTGCCACGATTGAGGAGATAAAGACGGCATCGAAGGATGAACTAAACAAGATCACAAAAAATGATTTTTTGAAATGCTTTGAGGATTGGAAAAAGCGTTGGCATAAGTGCATTATATCCGAGGGGGATTACTTTGAAGGAGATAAAATAAAAATTGATGAATAAATAAATATTTTTTGAGAAAAATAAAAATTCACCTTACTTTTTGATCACACCTCGTATATATGTACGATAGCTGCTCGTGCACGTGACATACCACCGTATATGTACACACACACGCGCACGGACCATGTTTAGTACATACAAAGCTTTTTCAATAGTTTTAGAATCAATGCAACTGTACAGGATATTAATATACGAGTAAGTAACTGTAGTTGTGCCAGTAATAGTCGACAATCATATAACTACAGCAGTGTAAGATACACACAATAAACGCAGGATGTTTACTGTCAATTTTTTTTTTCAATATATTTATTTACAATCTGTCTGCTAAATTTTATTATACAATTACAAAATTGGTTACAAAAATATTTTATATAATTTCATGAGGGTACTTCACCATTGTTCTGTACCAATATACTATTGCCGTGCTCTTTTAATTATGAATAAATGACGTTTTGTACTTTTTAAATCTTGAGACTATTGGTGTTATATGAATTAGTAAATGAACTAATTGACTAGACGATTTGAATGTTCCATTATCCTACTGGTATATTTTTTACAATTTGATTCAAGTTCTTCTCTTATGGTCTTAATGTTGACATCCTTCCTTAAGTATTCATTTATTACATATCATGGTGCATCAGTGATGTATCTTATTGTTTTATTTTGAAATTTTTCTATGATATCGATGTTAGACTTTGTGGTTGTGCCTCACAGTTGTATGCTGTATGTCCATACTGGTTTAATTATGGATTTGTATACTAGTAATTTGTTTTTGATTGACAGTTTGGATTTTCGTCCTAGTAACCAGTAAAATTTCCTCGTTTGTAGATTGAGTTATTTTCGTTTGGTACAGATATGGTCTCTCCAGGTAAGTCTTCGATCCAGGTGCATTCCAAAATATTTAGTTTTCTCTCCTTGTGAAATTAGGTGATTATTTATGTATATCGATTGACAGTATCCTTTCTTTTTTGTATAAGTTACTTGAATTGATTTAGTTTCATTTATCATTATCCTCCATTTGTTGAACCATTTAAGAACTGTGTCTAGGTATTTCTGCATTATGTTGGCGGCTGTTATTTCATTAGCATGTGATATTAATATTGCCGTGTCATTTGCGTACGTGGCTATGCTGATGTCTTCCATTTTGGGGAGATCATGGGTGTAAATTAGGTATAAATAGAACCAAGAACACTTCCTTGGGGAACACTGGCTTTTATTGGATAACGTTCTGTTGTTTCATTATTTACTCTTACTTTGAAGGTTCTAGAACTTAGATATGATTCCAGTAGTAAATAAAGTTCTTTTGGTACAATTTTTTTTAGTTTATATAATAGCCCTTCGTGCCAAACTTTATCAAATACTTGTGCTATATCAAGAAATACTGCATTACAGTATTCATTTTTTTCAAAGGTATTTCTTATTTTTGTGGTTATTCTATTTATTTGTTCTATTGTAGCATGATTATTACGGAAACTGAATTGGTGATCTGGTATTATATTTTGTTCTGTTAGTATTTTATGTAGTCTTTTAATTATTATTTTTTCACAAATTTTGGATAAAGTTGGCAGTAGACTGATTGGCCTGTATGAAGTTACTTGTTGGGTCGGTTCACCCGGTTTTGATATAAGTATTATTGTTGCTATTTTCCATACCGTAGGGAAATAGTGCAATCGAAAAATTGAATTTAGCAAAATGGTTATATATCTTACCGCTTTTATTGGAAGTTCTTTTA